AGTTTACTGATTTCAAATATTAGTGCAGAAACAACTTGTATGCTGCAGAAATGTTCCACCAAAACAATCCCCCGTCATTGTTTTAAAGGGGCACCATCACTGCGTCCCGGGCTTAGCTCCGCCCCTCACAGCTGTGATTGGTCAGAGCGTTCTATCCTCCCATAGTCAGATCATTCCACAGCTCGGTGGAGGTACGTCTGGATGTAGCAGCTCAGTCTCCATCAGGTCGGGTTGTTTCTACGGTGGGGGGGTTCATGTGGTCCACCCCCTGAAAGATAACGGACTCCTCCTGCTGATGTGTGGTCTTGTGAAGGTGACTCCAAAGATTCAAGAAGTCTGTTATCAAAAAGCTAGAAGAATGTGAAGCGCTAAACTTACTAGCTTAGCAATAGTTTGGGGAGCTGAGCTATAGAAATAAGAGTGTTCATTCATTATTGCAACTGTTAGCGTTTGAGCTAACTAGCTGCTGCCTTCAGCGTCACATTGAACCGACGGCCCTGAGGGTGGCGCCGGTCGTCTCTGCTGAATCCACAGAACAAGCTGAATGAATTTCCTCAGTGGGCCTCAAATCTCTGAGAGCTTGTCGTCAGCGAGGTGGTGTTTGTGTAGCTGAAGTCGGTTTTTCATGCAGCGAGTCGATGTTTTTCAGATAAAACCTGTTTGAGTCAGTCGGCGTCCTGCAGCGCCGCAACAGAAACAGCAGCTGGACACATCTGGACTTGTTTTCAAAACCTGCTCAGACTCTGCTTGTGCAGATGTTGGCCTCGGGGGGTCTTTGATCAGGACTGAAGGTCGCCACAGCTGGAACCGAACCCCTGAAACCTGCAGAGCGTCCTGATCTGCTGCAGCTCAGCGGTGGAAGGTGAAGCATGTTTCCCTCCGTCGTGGTCTCTGGAGGATCCTCTGATCTCTGCAGCTCCTCTCCCAGCAGAATGAGGACTTTGACTGAAGCCTGATTGATTTTCCGTCCTGCAGCGCCGCTGGTTCACTTCTAAATCACTTCCTTCCCGGATCTGTTGGAGATTCAGGGATGATGTGACTTGTTTGTTTTGGCCGAGTGTCTCCGGAGACGTTGCAGCTTCCTCTGACAGCAGATGTTTGCAGCTGAGCAGAAAGCGGTGAGTCAGCAGCTTCCTTCCTCTCGTACAGGTGTGTTCTCTTTAATCTGCTCGTTTTCTTTGGCTCCAAGCAAAGTGGAAAAGTTGACTTTGCATTTTTTAGCAGCTTCACAGCCCCGAAGTTACTAAGAAAAGCCTTTTGGTAAAAGTGTGCAGTCACAGCAGCAGCCTCGGGAGGCTCCGAACTGCTGAACGGGTCAAAACCGCAGGAAAAACTCGTCTCTCTGTTGTGATGTTGCAGGTTTTCTGATGACTTAGCATCTTTCCAGGGTGGGTTTGTGTGTTTCTGTGCTGATTTCATGTCCTTTTGGAGTGACTTTTGCATCTTTTTATGGTCATCTGGTGTCTTTTTGTGATAACTTGTGATGAAAGTTCTTCAGGAAACCATCCAGTAAACTTGTGGAAGCAGCAGAATCCAACGAGCTGCTCAAGCTGCTTGACTTTCAGAAACTTTTTAACTATAGACTCTTCACGGATTTAAAATCCAGCCTACTGGATCAATGAATACATGCAGCATGGATCAGAACCAGAGACCAGAGGAGCCAGATGGTGGAGATACATTCATCTGATGGTGGAACATCTTTCTACATCTGATGAGCAGAGCAGAGAGGAAACATCTGGAGACATGGAGATGGTTCAACATCTGCAGGACGAGGAGACCACATGAGCACAAAGAGACACAAACGTCCAAATGACACAAAACCAGCAAAATGAGACTCAAAATGACAAAAACGAGACGAAAACAACATAAACTAGACTTAAAACTACACAAAAAATAAGAAAAAGATGCAAAAATCAGACAAATTGGATACAAAATGACAAAAACGATACACAAAACAGCAAAAAGGAAAAAAGAAAAATGCAACTCAAGCTGAGAGGACGAGACAAAACAACAGAGACAGAAGTGTTCACATCTGTAATTCTGTAAAAACAGAAGAATGGTTAGTTTTCCAACTGTCTGACCGTCTGTAATGTGACGATTCATCAGAAAAATTCATCAGATCTGAGCTTCAAAGTGTGACATTCTGTTTAGATCACTTTGTTCATCATGGCTCAGATAAAACTGCAGATTCTGTTGTTTCTGTTGGTCCGGTGTTTGAACCGCCGGCCGATTCCAGGTCTGAATAATGAAATAGTTCTTTTCTTTTTCTGCTCAGTGGATTCTGACCGCCTCAAACTGCACTTTGTGGAGTTTCAGGTTTAATCAGCAGGAATGTAAATGTGAACCAGAGCCGAGGGAGGAAACAGTTAAAGCCGGTCGGTAGGAGGAGGTTCAGGAACGGGGAGGAGGGAGTCCAGCTCTTCTGCTCCCAGTCTGGTTCTGGGTTCATTCAGGAGGATGTTGAGGACGGAGGAGGTTCAGATCAAAGCTGCAGAAAACACCGAGACGCTGGGCGGAGATGGAGATGTGCTGCTGTCGGTGAGTTGAATCCGTCACAGCGCTGAGTCGACCTGCAGATGGACGCTGGAGCAGCTGAAACCTGGTGAGACGCTGCAGGATTCATTCACTGATTCAGACAAACCTGTGAAGTTTGACACAATGCTGTCAGAAGATAACAGCAAACATGTGTAGAGCAGTCACTGTTGGACCGATTAAATCCCTCGTTGGTCAAACACCCTAAGAGAACCGGTGACTGTAAAGAACACAGATAGTTACAGCCTGCACCAGTTTTATGGTTAATATGTGAAGTCATGTTTTTTCTGTGATTTATCTGAACTCAAAGTTCTGCTTCAGTGGATTTAGACGTATATTTGAGTTGAGAACTAAACTGGACTGGCTTTGAACTAATCACACGTGATTCTGTCGGTAAAAACGCAGCAAACCTCAGCTTCAAATCACTTTATTCTGCGTGTCTGATGTAAGAAAACGCTGTTCCTCAAATCACATTCTGAAAAAAACTGAACGTCCTGAGATCCCTGGTGGAAGGTGAAGCCAAGAGACCTGCAGCCAGAGTTTCCTCTGAGAGACCGAGAGGAGAATCCAACCTCCTGGATCAATGGATACATGCAGCACGGATCAGAACCAGAGACCAGAGGAGCCAGCTGGTGGAGATACATTCATCTGATGGTGGAACATCTTTCTACTGATGGTGGAACATCTTTCTACTGATGGTGGAACATCTTCTTACGGCTGAGGAGCAGAGCAGAGAGGAAACATCTGGAGACATGGAGATGGTTCGACATGAGCACAAAGAGACACAAACAACAGAAAGAAGACGAGCCTCGTATTTCCAGCTGCAGACTGATGTGGAATCAGACCTCCTGCCCAGGGTTTCAAGTCGTGTGACATTTCTGAAGCTGCTTCATCTGGTTCTTGTTGGTTTGGAGAGAAAACGTCCCGAAGCAGCTGCTGATGAGAAGAAGAAGGCAGCAGATGAAGTTATCTGAGGGCTAATTAAGCTCGTTAGGACTCCTGTTATCTCCAGTGGCTCAGATTGTTCGGCTGCTTTCTTTCCTCTGTCCCACGTCAGAGTCTCGTCGGCAGGTTTCTCACCGAGACAGACGGACGTTCACGTCACTGAGGCAGACGTGAGGCTCAGCTTCTAGGTTTTTTGTTGTTGTTTTTGTGTCGTTGTGTGTCTCTTTTCTGTCATTTATGTGTCTTCTATTTCTTTTTTTTCCCTCATTTTCCCATTCTTGCTATTGGCATGTCTCGTCTTTGTTGATTTTGAGTCTCATTTTTCACATTTTGTTTCTCGTTTTTTGTATTTTGTGAATTGTTTTT